GGCTTGTTTGTTTCTGTCCAGCCATTTCATTCCCCAGCTGGGAAACATCTCAAGTACTACCACTGAAGATGTTACCTAGCCAGGTAACAAAATGTCTGCAAGAAAACAATTCAGCTCAGAGAACCCCAGGACTCCACAGATCAAAATACTCTGAAAATCAATCCAACCTTCCAAAACCTAAATTACTAAAACATGAACAATGGACTGCTAATTTAGCACTGACTTTTATTAAATAATTTTCATTCTACTTCCAATGAATGAATGAAAAGGTTCTACTTTAAGGATTTGAGTGCCTTTAAGTCATTCTGAAGTATATGGAAAACCTGTGTAAATGCAATTGCCTCCCACCAGAGATACGTTAAATAGATGAGAATAGAGCATGCTTCTTAAGAGTGAGTTGGCACTAGTAGCTTCATAGTTTTTCTGTTCTTCCCATGGATGACTGTGTGGTCACTTTTCAGCAATTTTCTACAATTCTGAGGGGGAAGCAGGTGAAAACAGGCACAGCAGTTATCCACAGTATCACTTTGACCCCTCAACCCTCTAAGAATGTTAAATGTAAATGTTAAACTCCTGCTTTAAGAGGAAGACTAGTCTAACTAGACATCGTGGAGGCCTTTTAGCAGAGAGTAACTATCTGCCAGGAAATACAGAACAACAAAATGAAAAAGAAAGAAGGAAATCCATCTAACAGAGCATGTGTGTCAGAGTATGTAAGACTAGGGGGAGGAAAATCCAGGACAAACATGAGGGGCTGGCATTGCAATTAAGCATTCAGAAATTAGATCCTTATCCTTGTTTGGATTGTAAACAATAAACATGGTCAAATTCCTATTACACCTACATTTTTCTGTTATCATTGTTTTCTTAATTGCAAAAGGCTTAACACCAGGGGAAAAAAGGAAGAAGAGGAAATTAAATGCAACTTTCTAGAAGGAATTTTGATTTCTATATGTGCATTTACATGCTATTTAAAAAAAATCTCTGTATCCAAACACACGCATCTGCAATGTTTCAAGCCCTTGGACTATCATAATTTAGTTCTGATCCAATCAATAAGGATTATTATGGAGTATCCTTAGCATAGTATTAATTCACCATATCAGAATCACAGAAGCACAGGATCAAAAGGGGGCATTTAAGCTACTAAATCCAACCCCATGCTGGCTGCAAAAATCCCAAGATTCATTACTCTACAGCAAGTGCTGTATAGATTCCCATCACATAACTGAGGATAATTCCCTTCCAGACGCTCTTAGTTTGAAGTATAAAAGCATTCATTGAAAGAATAAAAAGGATTCTTCTATTAGTGTTTTAATTCTGATTCAATGTTCTTTCAGATAAAGCTTTCAAATGTAACATTGGAATTCTTCCTTGCTCAGCAGTATCCCCACCGAAAGCATTACTTTTATTCATGGGGGCTGCACAAATTCATGTATCATTTTAGGAAATCACAGTATACAAACTTTGAGAATTATCTTAATTTATTTTTGTTTTCCTGGTAACCAAAGAAACACAAGGAGAGGCAGGAAAATACAGAGAAACTGCCAAGGAAAGATTTTTTTCTAGACTTGCCAATTTCTCCCAACAAATAGAAGCCCTGTATTGTCGAAGGTTTTCACGGCCGGCATACGATGGCTGGTGTGGGTCTTCCGGGCTGTGTGGCCGTGTTCTGGAAGTTTTGTTTCCTAACGTTTCG